TAATCACCTCCATTAAGGACTACCTTCACCAATTGATTCCAATCATTAGGAGTTAGCCAATTTTTAGCCACACCATCTAAGACTGCTAAGGTACATGGGGCTGTGGCTCCATACTGCGACAAGGTGCATGGTGTGTGTGCATAGGGGACACTTTAAGTTGGATGCAGCAGCCTTTAAAGGCACAGAGGGCTCAGGCCGCACTCTTTGTGCGGTATCCGGCAGCCTGCCACTCTATGCCACACCACCGGCGGTGGAACCGGAGGGCCCTGCGGGCCACAGTAGGGGCGGGAGGCCAGCGCGCGGGGGCTCCCAGTCCCAACCACCATGCAAAAATGTCGCTAAAAAGAGTAAAGCTGCCGCCCGCCCCTCCGATTTTTTTTTTTTCAGAGGCTCCCAGCATGGCGGCGAGTGCGGCTGGTGGAGGGAGTGACGCAAGCGTCGCTTCCTTTTCAAAGCGGCCTCACCAAGTCCTGGGCTCTACCCCTCCCCAGGCAGGGCTTGATGAGGGCCCCGATGCACGGCTCCCTGACCATCCTGGGCGGCCCAGAGGGGGATTTGCCACAGCCGCCTCCTCCTTGGGAATTTCTCTCAACTCTGACTTAGAACTATTTCTAAAAATCTCTACAGCTTGGGAAATTGTTACCACCACTGTCTCACATTCATCTCTCTTATCTATTAACTAACTTATTAAATTCCAATATGAAAAAGCAGTTACCGGGACCTTTCCCGGTCCAAACACCTTATAGAATTCTTGTAATGCATCTCCCACTCTTCTCCATCTTTTTACATCTATAACCCCCTCTTGGGGAAACCATGGGCAGATGTCTTTCACAAAATCAAAGAAATGAAATAAATCCTCAGTTGTAACCTTTACTCCTCTTGCCTGTAAAGCTTCTCTTAACTGTATCACATATTTCTGATGCTGACTCAATGTTGGTCCCATAATTTAAATTGCACGACCAACTTACCTGTCGGCTCAGTCACAGCAGGCTACCGCGACGTCTCCAAACTATTGTTTGATCAGGTGCACACCCCTTCTTCTTCTTGTCGTCGGACCCTCACGTTGTCCCCCAGTATAAATGTGCCTCAGTTCTGACCCACAGAGCTGCCACGAAGTACCTGGATTGTGGGGTGGGGATGTGGATGAGGCAAGGGGCAAGAGAAATGGAGACAAGACAGTGCTCTGATCAAGTCTCTTTTATTGAAGCACAAGCATACAGTTAAATAAGGAATAAGAACAAGGAAGTACAGACTGGACTGAATCATACCAGCCAGACAGCAAAGACCCAGGTGCACTCCAAGGGGGGGATCCACTGAGAGCAAGGCAGTTACTGGAAAAGAAAACAAGACCGCAGGCGAAGGCCGCGAGTTCCATCCCGTGCCTGCGAGAGTCTACTGATCAACAGAAAACAGGGCTATTTACAATAACTAGAGCAAGGCCGTGGGCTACCAGCCCCGGCTATGAGCCAAGGTTGTGGGCTCTGCTTGCCTGCCAAAGTTTTCGGGCCAAGGCTGCGGGCAGAATGGAAAATAGCCGGCTGAGGCCTGTCAGCAGTTGTGAAGAAGTGGATAAGACTCAGTCTCCCAATATGCTGAGACGGCTCCCAACAAACACCCAGTGCTCTTAACTGCTGAGCCATCTCTCCAGCCCCAGACAAAGTTAAATTAAAAAATAGTAAGAGATCGACAACAAAATAAACAATTATAAGAATATATGAACAAAAGTTAATTATTTTCTCTTAGCTACCATGAGCCAGGAAGGAGGAGCATGAGAAATTTTTTTTGTGATGTAATTCATATCTTGTTTAATTTTCCTTTTGTAAATTTATACTTTACTAATTTGTAGTTTATATCATTACATAACTATCACCATAGGGACATTCTTTTTATTGTTTTGTTATTTTCTTTTTAAAGACAAAAGTTTTTGTTTTTGTTGTTTTGCGGTTCAGGAAACTAAACTCATGCTAGGCTGGTGTTCTACACACAGCCATTAAACATTCCACCCATTAGATGTTCATTTTTAAGACATTTTCAAAATTTACATTCAAATATTTTTCTTTTTTTTTTTTTTTTTTTTTTTGGTCTTTTTGAGACAGGGTCTCCCTGTAGCCCCAGCTGGCCTGGATTTATTATGGAGACCAGGCTGGCCTCGAACTCCCAGAGATCCGCCTGCCTCTGCCTCCCGAGTGCCAGGATTTTTCATTCCTACTTAGCTTTTACTATTCTCAACTTGATGACAACTTTCTCTTAGAATTTTTCATGTTCTATAACTATTGACTTTTTTTACATTTATGTGTGGATGTGAGTTGTGTAGAGATTAAAGGACAGGTTGCAGGAATCAGTTCTCTCCTACCATGAATTGAACTCAGGTCACAAGAGCTTTTACCCTCTGAGTCATCTCGCTGTTTTTTTTTTTTTCTGAATTCTGCATCACTTCTTGCAGTCCCCCCAAACAGACATCATATCAATGTAGTCTTTCACTCTAAGAAGTAGCAACTAGGCCTCTCTGTCCCTAAAACTCTTTGCCATGCTACTTAAAGTTCTTCACCAAACTGCCTAAAACTCTATTCTTACATACTTTTAGTAATCGAGTATGGATTATATAGTAGCTAGTAGTATTGTGTATTGTATAATTTTCTGAATTTGGTTATTTAGTACTGTGATTAGATAGGAAAAGTCCTGGTGTGGAGGCTTTTGTTATTTTGGGATTTGTTTTGTTTTGGTACTGAGGCTTAAACCCAGGGCCTCATATATGCTAGACAAGAACTCTACCACCAAGCTATATCTCCAGCCCTAAGTTTGAATTATTTTTAAAGCAAAAAGTTTTTTGTTTCTTTAATTCAGTGATTTTCTCTATATCAGAATCACCTGAGAGCTAAAATGACAACTGTCAGTTGGTGACATTTGGCAGGTGCAGGCAAGAGGATCAGGAATTCAAGGCTTTCTTCAGGTGCATTCAGGGTCAGCCTGGGCCAAGTGAAAGCCTGTCTCAACAAAATAAAACACAAAAGACGACAACAACAACAAAAAAAAACTAAGCCAGGTGTGGTGGTGCATACCTTTAATCTCAGCACTCAGGAAGCAGAGACAGGCAAATCTCTGTGAAATACAGCCAGCCCGGTCTACATAGCAAGTTCCAGGCCAGTTGAGGCCACAGGGATACCCTATCTCAACAACAAACAACAGGCCAAAGAGGTGGTTCAACAGTGAAGCGCACTGGCTGCTCTTACAGAGGACTTGGGTTCAGTTCCCAGCTCCCACATGGCAACTAACCATCTATAACTCCAGTTTCAGGGGATCTGATGCCCTCTTCTGTCCTCTACAGGCATGTGTGCACATGATGCACTTAAATACATGGAGGCAAAACACTCATATACATAAAATAAAAATAAAAATTTTTAATAAAAAAAGGCCTAGGGAGATTGCTCAGTGAATAAAGTACTTGCCACACAAGCATAAGGACTATAGTTCAAGTCCCCAGAACCCATGTAAAGCCAAGCATAGCTTGTACCTATCCTCCACTGTTTCTGCTACAAGATGGGAGGTGGGCACAGGAGAATCCCCTGAAGCTTGGAGGCCAGTGAACCTGGGGTGCACAGCATTGAACAACTGTCTCAAGTAAGGTAGAAGTTAAGGACCTGAGATTATCCTGTGACCCCCGCCCCAAGTGTGCATCACACGCTCGTACATAAAAGTTAAATCCCATATGGTAGAAGAAGAGAACTGATTGCTGTAAATTGTCCTCTGACCTCCACATGCATGCCATAACACACATGTACTCTCAATATATCAATAAATAAGTGAACCAAATATGGTAGCTCATGCCTATAATCCCAGCACTTGGAAGGCTGAGGCAGGAGAATGGAAGTTCTAGGCAAGCCAGAGCAGCATAGGAGACTCTGTCCCATTAAAAAAAATGATAGTATGTTTCAGCTATCATTTTTCATACTTAGAAGTGATTTTTAATTTATTATTGTTTATATTATGTATGTGTGTGGGTGCATGTGTGCCATGGTGTGCATATGGTCAGAGAATAACTTTCATGGAGTCAGTTCTCTCCTTCCTTCTACCTTTATGTGGGTTCTAGGGATCAAATTTGGGTCATCAGGTTTTCATAGCAAGCACCCTTACTTGCTGAGCCATTTCACCAGCTCAGAAGTGAATTTTCAGTCAAATTACCTTCCTTTATATTAGCATTAATCATGTCATGGCTGGTTACCTAAATCGGCAGTTATAAGTGTATGCAGGTTGTATAAGAAAGCAATTTAGATGGGAAATTTTAATTTAGACAGGAACTAGGAACATTTTATCAAGAGAATTGCTGATATCAGTGGTGCTAAGAACTTTAGACCTAGAAAGAGTGGACAAGCTAGAAAACAAGTATACTGAACAGAGTGGGATGAAAAATACTGCCAGTTAAAATATAGGCAGAATGAAGGGACGGTCAAAAGTAGTGGGAATATGGATGTTTTACTACAGAAGAAACAGATGGTCCTCATTAATAAAGCGGGGATAAAAGAACCGTGAAAGGAAGGAAAAGAACCAAAGATTTGCTGGACTAAGAAGTATATTAAATGACTTCAAGACAAGATTATAAAATAATTCAGACCATTTTCTACTTTAAGTCTCTAGCACAAAATTTTAAATTAACAGCAACACGTTTTGGAAACAAAATGAGGTAAATTTTTATATCAAAAGACAATTAAACCCCAGTACTGGAAAAAAAAAAAGAATAGGAAAAAGAGTACAGAAGTGAAAATTCATTGTGCTGGAAATCAATAATAGCAACCTCTGAGCATGTTTGAAAAGACTTCCAAAGCACCATAAAATCAAGTTGCAGTTTGCTGCAGAAACAAGAGCATGAGGACCACTTGTGAGCATGGCTCCCCCAGAGAAGCAGAATGCTATCTTGAAAGGCTCTGGAAGAATCCATTTAGGAGTTTGTGAATCCTACTTTCATTATTTCAGAATTCCCCATGAATTGGAAAGAGAATCCAGTAAAATTTGTAAACTATTTCAGTACTTTAATAGACTCTGAATTTATACAATAGTATGACAAAATTACTGTGGATGTATGATGTGCAATGGTTCTTTATTCTCTCCACCATCATTGAGGCAGGGACAGAAGTAGGGATAAAGTTTCTCCATGAAAATGCTATTGAAGGTGTAAAGATGGGCCATGGTTTGAGCATTGTAGAAGGATACCTGCCCTCCCTCATAATCCAGGTATATGCCCACCCTGTTGAGATCAACCAGTTTCACACAACAAGAAGGCAAATCTAGAGCCTTTAGATCAGTTTGGTTCCTTAGTCTTAAAAGCCAGAATCCTTGCTCAGGAGTCAGAGGGCAGCTCCCCTTCCGAATGATGGACTCTCTGACGACTCCAACTGTCCATTTTGTCTTCTTTGCTACTTCTACTTCCCAGTACCACTTTCCAGTTGTGAAGCCTTCTGAGCCCAGTACAGCCACACTTGAGTCAAACCTCTCTGGATCATCAGGCATTACCTGCTTAATATCACCATGACACACACTGGTCCAGTTTTTGGATAGCACCAGATTTGGATGAGCTGTTTTAGGATCCAGAGTTAATGGAGATAGGCCTAGTAAGAAAATAAGAGATAGCAGGGAGTGGGGAGGAGGGAAATAGATACCAGTGCTTTAATTCCCCATGTGAATAAATTCCTAATCAGGTGATTTGCTATTTCTAGACATTTTATTTAGAATAAAATTGGACTTTGCATTGAAATAATTTATGTTATTACTGAAGGAAACAATACAAATAATGTAAATATGTATTAATATTTAAAAATACAAATACCAGGACTGGAGAGATGACTCAGAGATTAAGAACATTAACTGCTCTTACAGAGGACCTGCGTTCGATTCCCAGCACCCACATGGTGGCTAACAACCATCTGTAACTCCAGTTCCAGAGGATACAATGCCTTCTTCTGATCTCCACAAGCATTGCATGACACAGGTGCACTTACACGCAGGCAATACACTCATACACATAAAATAAAAATAATAAAATATTTTTTAAATGCAAATACCGCCAGGCATGGTGGCACATGCCTATAGTCCCAGCATTCAGGAGATAGAGGCAGGTAGATCTCTGTGTGTTCAAGGCCAGCCTGGTCTACATAGTGAGTTCCAGGACAGGTGGGACTACAGGGAAACTCTGTTTCAAAAAGACCAAAAAATTTTTTTACAAATACCAAAAGGGTAAAATTAGATAAGGTAATGTTTCTAAGGAGATTATCTCAGTTAGGATACAATATATATGAGGTATAAGCTTTGGGAAAAAAGAGCGGGGAGGCAGTAGATTAAATAGTCAATTGCTTTTGTAGAAGAGACTATAAGAGTTTATCTGCTAGAGCCAGCTAAGATAGAGCTACTTGGTAGAGTTTAGAGATCAGTAATGAGAACTTTATATTTGGTTTAACATACAGAGAGACATTAGAGCTCTAGGGTACTTATTGCCACTGCCTTTCAGAAGGTAGTCCATAAACTCTGCAGTCACCAGTCTGGGACAAGATAATACAGAAACTGAGAGCAAGCTTTTAGAAACTTTCATGGCAATCCAGCAAAGTAATTTTATGTCAGTTGAATCTGATAATTATGAAATTGGGCTTGGACTTTGTAAGCAACTTTTAATTTCTTAAGTAATTATATTGCATTCCACAATAATAGAATTCCATGACATATTAAGGCTTTAAAAATATGTGAAAGCTAAAAAAGTTTATCTCATAGAGATAGAATAGGGGTCACTAGATACTAAGAAGAGTAGGGATAAGCTAGGCATGGTGGCACAAGCCTTTAATCCCTGCACCCGGGAGGCAGAGGCAGGTGGATCTCTGTGAGTTCGAGGCCACCCTATATAGTGATTTCCAGGCCAACTGGGGCTACAAGGAGACCATGTCTCAAAAACAAAACAAAAAGCAGAAGAGAAGGAATGGGCGGGTTCGAATATATAGGTTTCTTTTCTTTTTTGGCAGTTCTGGAGATTGGACTCAGGGCCTTACACATGCTAAGCCAGCACTCTTATCACTAAGCTATATCTCCAACCTCTGTTATTTATTTTTAAATAAATAAAAGAGTTCAAAGGTTCTCAACACATAGAAATACTAATTTCCATTATTTGATTACATCTTATACATGTATTAGATTATTATACTGTGTCCTATAAATATGTACAAATACCATGTGTCAATTAAAAATCAGCAAGAGCAGTAACCCACACCTATAATTCTGGCATTCAAGAGGTTGAGGCAGGAGGGTCATAAGTTCAAGGCGACCTGAGCAATGTAATGAGATCCTTTTTCAAAATAAAGATCTTTGGGGGTTGGGGGGAGCTAGAAAGATGGCTCAGTGATTAAGAGCACTGACTGCTCTTGCAGAGGACCTGGGTTCGATTCCCAGCACCCACATGGTGTCTAACAATCTTTTTTTAATCTTTGGTATTTTTAAAGTCAAGAATGATGGTGCATGCCTGAAATGCCAACATTTGGGAGTAGAGACAGGAAGATTAGAAGCTCAAGGTCCTCCTTGGCCACATAAAACTCTAGGCCTGCTTGAGGTATATGAGACCTTGTTTCAAAAAACTAAAAAAGAAAAAAGAACCATTAAAAAACCGATTTGTGCCTGGAGCGATGGCTCAGTGGTTGAGAGAGCATACTACTCTTATAGTGGACCCAAGTTCATTTCCAGCACCACATGTCAGGTGGCTGACCTATAACTCCAGCTCCAGGGAATCCAACACCTCTGGCCTCTGAGGGCACCTGCACTCATGTGCACGCATACACACACAGTTAAAAATAATTTTAAAAAATATTTTTCAAAAGGGGGTGGGTGGAGAGATGGCTCAGCAGTTTTAAGAGCACATACTGCTCATGCACAAGCCCACACATGGACACATGTATGTATACACATAATATATATAAATATTTTTAAAAGTACCTAATAAAGGATTCATCCTCTTTACAGTTTAATATTAAGTCAAACAAATAAAAGAATGGACAAAAAATTGATTACACTTAACCATAAAGACATAGGAATAGCAAAGAAGCACATGAAGAGATGGTCAACAGGATTGGACATTAGAGATACATAAATTAAAACCACAGGCGTGTTGGTGTACGCCTGTAGTCCCAGCACTTGGGAGGCAGAGGCAGGCATGAGTTCAAGGCCAGCCTGGTCTACATAGTGAGTTCCAGGATAGCTGGGGCTACAGGGAGACCCTGCTTCAAAAGACCAAAAAAAAAAAAACATGGTGAAATGTTGCTATACTTCAAATTAAATAGTTACAATTTAAAAGATTGACAATATCAAGTCAAGGATGTAGAGAAAGTGGGATTGTCATCCATTGCTGGGGGAAATGTAAAATGGTACCTCCACTGTGGGGGACAAAATGTTGATAGTTTCTCTCTCTTTTTTTTTTCATCTTTTTGAGACAGGGTCTCCCTGTAGCCCCAGCTGGCCTGGAACTCACTATGTAGACCAGGCTGGCCTTGAACTAACAGAGATCTGCCTGCCTCTGCCTCCCAGGTGCTGGGATTAAAGGCGTGTGCCACCACACCCGGCTAGGTTGATAGTTTCTTATAAAATTAAACATACATCCTCAATACCACCATTGCACATTTGCTTCAAAGAAATTAAAATACAAAGATTTGCAAACAGATTTACAGAACTTTATTCATAATAGCCCCAAAGTATAAACTTTTCAAAAGTCCATCAGTTGGAAGATAAGCACATTTCAATGTATCCATAAAACAAAATTATTCACACATGCAATTACATAGGTGAATCAAAAGAAGTATTATGCTAAGCACAAAAGTCTAGACATATAAGACTATCATGTGATTTATATTAAATCAAAATTTCGAAAAGACTAAAACTAAAATAAAGACAAGTGTTAGAGGCTGCAGATATACAGAAAAACTTATTGCTTTCATTTGTTTGTTTGTTTGTTTGTTTGTTTGTTTGTAATAGGGTCTCTGTAGCCCCAGCTGTCCTGGAGTTTGCTCTGTAGACCAGGCTGGCCTCAATCTCACAGAGATCTACCTGCCTCTGCCTCCCGAGTGCTGGGATTAAAGGTGTATGCCACCATACCTGACAGAAAGACTTCATTGCAATGGGGCATGTAGAAACTTTGGAGCGTGAGAGAAATGATCTGCCTCTTCGTGTGAGTGTGTGTGTGTGTGTGTGTGTGTGTGTGTGTGTGTGTGTGTGTACATGCAGGTGGGGGGCATACTTGCTTATGCATGGGCATGTGGAGATCAGAGGTCAACTTTGGGTGTCTTCCTCAGTTGCTCCCCACCTTAGTTTTTGAGACAAGGTTTCTCTTTGAACCTAGAGCTCACTGTTTCAGCTAGGCTGACTGGCCAGCCAGCCTCCTATGATTCCTCTTTCTCCCAAGCCCCATCCCCAGTGCTGGGGTAACAGGTGTGTGACACCATCCCTTGCTTTTGTAGGTGCTGGAGATCCAGACTCAGGTTCTAATGAGTAGCAAGTGCTTTACCCACAAAACCATCTTCCCAGCCCCCCTCTATTTATACTTTGATCACAGAAATTTACATAGTTGTCAAATCTCATGAATTTGTACACTGGGTACATTACAAGTAAAGTTGATGGATTCTACCCTAGGGTCACTTCAGCAAAGTAGTTTTTCAATATCAGCCACCTGGAAAATTTGTTAACAAGGATATATTTGTGATTTTGAGGAAATCAATAACAATATCTAACCTATATGAATTCTATTGGAACTATCTAAATTTTTATCTTTATAAACATTTTAATTTAGAATATTATTTATTTTTCTTGAAATACCACTTGTGTTCTTCTGTTCTGTTCAGTCCTTTGATATCCTCAGATCACAAAAACTTAGTGTGTTTATTAGATACATTCATTGAAACTACTGGTTATCTTCTGAGGCACTAATGAGCTCTAACAATCTCTTGCAATGTTGTTCTCTATGATATGAATTTCAAGCACAAGAAAACCTATAAAGACCCTATGTACATACAAAGAGTATGTATAGAAAACTCCTTCAGAGCAGAGGCATTCCAGGGATTTATATAGCTGATTTAGCAAATGGGACAAAATATGGCTGTTTCCACATTTGACAGATTAAAATCATAGGCTGAGGAATAATTCTAACATTGCATTTTTGTGTAATACTAGTTCAAAGACATGCATTTCTAGGTCCTAGCAAAAGAAGAAATTCAGCCATACTAACTAGTATCTTTTTTGACTAAACTCGACCCCACTCCACTCCACAGTCTCAGACTAAAGAACTAACTAGGGCCATAGAAGAGGCCCTACGGGTGAAATATAGATCAGGAGCCTTGGAAATCAGAGGTTTCTCCCCACTATACCTGGATTGAGAGTGGACTGCATTTCCCTCCACATCATGTACTGGATGGGACCTTTGAAGTGGCCTGGGTTCAGCTTTCTGGAGACAAGCTTTCTGGGTCCGAGCACCCTCATTCCTTGCTCCATGCTGTAAGGGGACATAAATAATTTCTTTGTAGACATCCTCCAGGGACTGAAGGAAGGGGATAAAGAGTGGCATGGGACAGCACTTACCTGTCTATGAGCTTCCTGATGTCCTAAAAGAGAAAAGGAGGAATATAGAAGTCAGATGCCCATTCACCATCTTAGAAATTTCTTCAGTGGTTCTGATCACCATCCAAATTTGATCCTCATTACTGGCTTCCTGGGCAGATGGTCCTTAGCCCATCTCTAGCAACAGTTTTCATCCTCCACAGGCCTTTTCTGATTTGCACCCCCAGTCTAACCCACAATAAACTGACCTGCTCTCATTGCTGGCCTGCCAATTTTTCTGAAATTCCAACTCTTTTTTAAATTAAAAAAATTTTATGTGTATGCATACATTGCCTGCATGTAGGTAAGTGCACCTGTGTCGTGCAATGCCCACAGAGGTCAGAAGAGGCAGTTGGATCCCCTGGGACTGGAGTTATTGTTAGCTGCCATGTGGGTGCTGGGATTTGAACCCGGGTCTTCTGCAAGAACAACCAGTGTTCTTAACCACTTAGCCATCTCTCCAGCACCTAAAATTCCAACCCTTACAGGGAATAAGAGAGTAACCAATAAGACCATAGTTAAGGGTTAGCTTTTATTAAACCCATGCTTCCAGATAGTTCCAGAAGAAGAATTCAGAAGACATTCTGGGGACAATATTTCACTACTCTGGATAGTTAAACTTTTGAGCACAGAAGAGATAACCAGTGTTACTTCAGAGGAAAATCTTCGGGCAGCAGTTTGGTTAAAAGCTTTTGCAGATAGATCAATTTATTATTTCTGCAAGCTCCAAATTCAGTATATGCTCCAAAAAACACAGTTCTGAGAAATAACACTTCAGAGTTCTTTATGGAAAATATGAAAGTATCAGTATATAATGTTACTAATGAAATTTTATTATCATGTTTCATAGGGAGATTAAAATAAAGCTTTCTGCTGAACATAAAGCAAAAGTAGCATCCTAACTTTTCTCCCAAGGACCTTAAAAATACTACAATGGTCTGGTTTGGTTTGGTTTTGCTTTAATCTTCCCCTAACCCCCAAACATACATTACAGTTCCCTCCCCCTTCTCAGTATACCCATTGTATATTGGTATGGAGTCTCACTTTGAGGAAGTCAAAGGAGTCCTGCTGTTCCATCCGTGTCTGAATGTTCACCAGCATGTCTTTGGCAAGAAGACACTGCTCCTGAAGCTGGTTCATATTCAGCTCCATCTCCTCATGCAAGAGTTTCCCCTCTTCCTGGAGGTCATTTAGAATGTCCTTTTCTTTGTTGTGCAGGAACTGGTGCAGCTTTAGAAACTCCAAGGAAAGGTGTTGTTGCAGTTGTAGCTTGTTTTCCTAGAAACCTCCATGATCATCACCATGATTATTACTGAGACTAGCACTTGGGGATGGGGGCCCACACCACACCCCAACACACCTTGGGAAATACCATACAAAGGGCTGTTTAGTATCAGCATTCAGCCCTACCAAAAGGAGCCCTTTAGGAGACTTGCCCCTTCTTTCCCAGCTACTTTAATAGTTTAGGATGAAAGTCAAAAGTAGTCTTTATGTTTCTATTGCATTACCGGGATGGTAACCAGTGCTCTATTAAATAACATTGTGGAGTCAACCAAACATTCTAAAATGAATAATAATATCTTCCTAGATTAGCAAGTCAGTATTTACCAAATGATGCTGTTAGACTAGAGACATATGCAACCTGGGAAAATGGTCCTTATCTAACCAGACCTTGCCGGGGGTTGGGAGGTGCAGTGGGATGCTACTCCTGCTGCCAGGACAACAGGATATGAGGGATTTGAGAAATGTCTAAAGCCCTGACATTGATAATTGTTATACTTCTCTCTCGCTCTCACTCTCTCCGCACGTGTGTGCGCGTGTGCGTGCGTGTGTGTGTGTGTCTGTGTGTGTGTGTGTGTCTATCCACAACTTCTTCACAGGTGAACCATCTGATATCCTGGCTTCTCAGTTCATTTTCTTTTCTAATGAGTTACATCTTTCTCCACCCATTCCCAGTCACACATAGAATCTTATTATTCCTAGTAAATGTACTATCTCCAAAATAACTTTATATTCCAAGCTTACTTGCTCCCTATAACAACACTACTGGACCTCATTGAAAGTTTGTGTCCATTGACCCCATCTGTTTCTGTTCATAAACTGCTAGCTTTATGGGCCCCCTTACCTAGCTTAGATTCCATAGGCCATCCTTATTTCACTCTTAAATTATTCTTAACTCCATGTCTCTTCTAGCTCACATTTTCCAGTTTCCCTTTTACCTTTCTGATGATTTCTCAGCCTTATAACAAAACTTTAAATATTAGAATTATTTGGTATTCTGTTTTAAGCTCCTCCTGCACTTTCTTTTTAGGTAATATCTTTTTCCTCCCACATCTTTAAATACCATCTAATGCTGACAACTTATCTCCAGCTTTTGAGGTCGAGATTCCTAAATCCACCTGCCAATTTGATATCACCACTGACTCCTATCTATTCAATCACCACCGCTAGATAATTGTTCTCTCTAAACCATATGACCCTGTTTATCTCTCTGTATGTCCACTGCCTCTTTAGTCCAAGTAAGTGTCATTATTTCTGGGACAACTGCAGTAGTCTTCTAACCACTGTTTTATCATTGTCTTTCTGATCCATCTTCCCCACAGCCACCAGACATTTTCAAAATGAAATTAAACTATATCCTGCTTAAAATCCTTTATCTCTCATGTCACAGAATGGAATTCAAAGTGCTTAATATTGTCCACACAAGGACCCACACAATTGGGCCATGTCTGCCTCTTCATTAGTATCTTGTTTAGCATGCTTTATTGGACTTCTTTTCTGTTTAACTTCCTTCTTTGAACTCTTCTATGTGTTCTTTTCTCTTCCTATACAACACTCTTCTCCAGGCCTTTTGTTTCATATTCCCTTCACCCACTTCATTTAAGTTATTCATCCTTCAATTCTCTATTTTTTTTTTTTTGAGATAGAGCTTCATGTATCCCAGGCTGGCCTAGAAGCCACTATGTAGCCAAAGATGACCTTGAACTTCTGATCCTCCTTCCTCCCTCTCCTAAGTACTGTGTATGCCACCATGCCCAGTTTATGTAATACTGGTGATCAAACCCAGGGCCTTATGCATGTGAGACAAGCACTCTACCAACTGAATTACATCTTTAGTCTCAATTTTTTTAATTATTTTTATTTTATGTGTATGTGCATTGCCTGCATGTATGGAAGTGCACTTGTGTTGTGCAATGCCCACAGAGGTCAGAATAGGGCGTCAGATCCCCCTGGAACTGGAGTTATGGACAGTTATTAGCTGCCATGTGGGTGCTGGGATTCAAACCTGGGTCTTCCGCAAGAACATTCAGTGTTAACCACTGAGCAATCTCTCCAGCCCCTTCAGTCCCAATTCTTAATTTTCCAAGTTAGCTCCCAACTTAGAGACTGATTTGTCAAATCTCTATTATTAATACTGTTCTAGAGTTCCTGTGAAGCTCAAAGTCTATAGGCATGTTTATTTAGTTTGGGGAAATTAAGAAAGATCAAATCAGATGAGAAAGAATGAAATCTGAGAGACTGTGGGTCAGAGGTGTCTGGTTATAAACCCAAGGAAATAAAAGTATTTCTTTGGACATAGCAATCTTTCATGGGTTTTGCTGCTAAATTCTTTGTTTTGCCATACATGAAGGGACAGACCAGACAGATCTCAGTCCCAGAATACTCACCTAGTTGCTGAACCATCAGAAAGCTCAGCATATTATAGCAAAAGCTAGTCTGTTCAATTATCAGCTATTGGGAACATATTCTGTCATGTATTTCTTCCCACCCTACAATGAAATAGGATGAATTCTATAACCTAGGTGCCATTTAGTCTGTCAGTATAGGTAGAGTCACCTTTGCACCCATCTAGCTGAAGTTGCAAGGAGAGCATATTCCAGTTTTATTTCATAAGCCCTTTACTCTGCTCCTCACCTTGTAAGCAGCAATAGCATCTTTTTGCATATTTCTCAGAGACTGCAGTTCCTTCAGGGTTGTCTGAAGTTGGCTCTGATAGATGGCAAGCTCCTCCTAGAAACACCAAATAGAATTAACCCATACCAATTTGGGAGATTAAAAAATCAGAAGGAACAGCTCCTCAGAGGCTGGGCAGAGAGCTCAGTCAGTAAAGTGCTTGCCACATAAGCATGGAGCTGAGTTTGATCCCTTGAACCTATGTAAAAATTCAGACATGGGGTGCACACTTAATTCCAGCACAGAGGAGATGTAGATAGGGAGATTCCTGGGACTTGCTGTCCAGCTGGCCTAGCCTAATATGCAAACCCTAAGTCTTAGGGAGAGACTCTGTCTCAAGAAGCATGGTGGGCAATGCCTAAGGAACATCTGGCCTCCACATTCATGCACATACATGTGCACACAACACACGCATATATGTGCATGCATATACACACGCACCCGCCCACACACACACACACACACACACACACACACACACACACACTAACATCCCCAAAGACCTATTGTGTCAGAAAAAAGTGAGCTCTGGGGTATTTCTTCTTTAGAGAGATTCTCTCTCAGTTTTCTCATCTATATTCATTCTGCTTTGGGAAAGAAGTGAGCTCTTGCTGAAAACACATCTTTCCCTCCTGCTGTGTTCCTTCTCCTTTGAGAATCCTGAATAGGCTGAGGCTGTAACTCACTGGTACAACACTTGTTTTGCCAACACTATACCCTGGTTTCAATCCCCAGTACTACAAAAAAAAATTTATGAATAAAATAAGAAGAGAAAATATTTAGTATGATGTCTTATTAGCTAACTACAGGGCTGCTGCTAGAACTCTATGTTTTTCACTGTAGCTGCAGTGCTCACCATGTGTGTTTTTACATATGCTGTAGCTACTGGAATGTTTGTTTCTTCCTTCTGCCCATCCAAATCCAAATAATTTCCAGTTCTAGTCTTATCTTTACTGTATCCTCTCAAAAATCCTAAGTACACTGGTATAGTGGCACACGTCTTTAATCCCAGCACTTGGGAGACAAAGGTAGGTGAATCTGTGCGTTCCAGGCCAGCCTGGTCTACATAGTGAGTTCCAGGCCAGCTGGGCTACAGGGAGACCCTGTCTCAAAAGGAAAATGAACAAAAAATAAATAAATCCTAAATACAACTGTGATAAAATTTAATTTGGAAATAATAGATTATCTTATATTGTTTCTCTTGTTATGCTCATTTTAAACTTCATCAGATTTTGAAACTTTTATAGCAAGAGTACTATGCTGTTTATTTTTACTTAGTGTCTGATTGGAGAAGTCAGCCACAGCCCCTCCACTCTCTCCTTTCCTGTAAACAGCATCTATAAAGAAAGAACTTTGCAAAATACCTTGTATTTCTAAGCACTCTGAACTTTCTTGTTATTTGAAGAAAGGGATGAAGTAAAAAAAGAGAAGTCCTATAGAAAAAGAGTTTTCCTAAGGGATTCTCAAGGCCCAGGGCTCACACACCGTAAAGAAATGGACAGCATCAGCAATTTGCAGGAACTCTTCAGACTGCCCCATAGACAACCGTGCATCTTTGCATTGAAAGCAGATCAATTTCCCATCTGGCTTACTGAACAGTTTCAGGTTGTCGCCATGCTCTGGGCACTGTGGATGGCCCTTGAGCAGAGGTAACTTCTTAATCTTCTCTACCATCTTCTCCAGCACAAGGTTGAATGTACAGTTGCTATATTGGCATAGCATCTTACACTCAGGACAGAACGTTTCCTTTGTGTGCAACTTCCAGTAGTTTTGGATACAGACTTGGCAGAAGTTGTGGCCACAGCTCAGCATCAGCGGATCATGGAACCAGTCATTACACAGCGGGCAGTGTAGTTCTGTAGTAATATCTTGTATCACCACTTCTGAGGGTATGTAGATGGTTGAATCACTGACTTCAACATAGTTGCCTGGATCGAAGTTGGAGGAGGGCCTGGAAGATACCTTTAGAAAAGAATATCTTAGTTGAATTTCTCTTTTTTTTCTTTTTCTTTTTCTTTTTTTTCTTTGTGTGTGTGTGTGTGTGTGTGTGTGTGTGTGTGTTTCATTCAGAACATCCCAGACAATCTTATTCATCTTTATACCTGCATCCCAAATAGCACCCTCCCATGGCCTCCCCCTCACCCCCACTGGAGCCCATATACTCTGTCACCCCTGTTACTGTCCACTGTGTTGTCAGTGCCCCCAGCCATTCCCTAGTTGAATTTCTCTTATTGCCCATTTCAGTATACAAGGATGGTGAACTCCATTCCTAAAGGAGCTGAGAATTGGTGCAGCTGAAGTACCATAATCTCTCCTTTGAAAATATGCAATGGGGGCTGAAGAAATAGATCAGCAGCTAAGAGTGCGTACTGTTCTTACAGAGGACCAAGTTCAGTTCCCAGCATCCATACCAGGTGGCTTGAAATGGCCTGTAACTCCAGCTTCTGGGAATCTATCACCGTCTTCTGGCCTCCATGGAAACTGCGCTCATGCACAAACTCACAGACTCAAACATATGCAGAATTTTTTTTTAACTTAAAAAAATAGCAATCTAGGGAAGTGGGAATAGGAAATAGGAAGGAGAGATGGCTCAGCAGTTAAGAGAACTGGCTGCTTTTGCAGAAGACCCAAGTTCAATTACTAGCACCCACATGTGGGTGACAACAACCATCCATAACTCCAGTTCCAAGGGGTCTGATGCCCTCTTCTCACCTCAATGGGCATTGCAGGACATGGGTGCACTTACACATGCAAGCAATATACTTATACACATAGAATAAAATACAATAAAATAATAAATTAAATATTTTAATAACAATTAAAAATAAAATAATGCAATGAATTTAATGTTTTCTAACATCATAGTTTGTGGTACTATTTAAGTTCTAAAAGAAACCCAACACAGGAAAAGAAAGTACTCAAGCAAAGATATATTTTATTGTAAATCTCTCTCTTTACAAACAATTATGCATTGAAAAGTTGTACTTTCAGTTTCTGTTTCATTAGTAATTTTTATTTTCTAGATGTTACATACAGAAAGTTAGAGGATGAGTAAGATTCCTCAGTCAGTGGAGCGATTTCATCAACACTCCAGGCTTCCTCAGACTCCTTTTTAAAGTATATTACAGGTAGGCATGGTAGCACACACTTGGAATCCCAGCACCCAGGAGGCTAAAGCAGGAAATATGTAAGTTCTAGGCCAGCCTGGGTATAGAGTAAAACTGTTTATAGATAAATAAATACTTAAAACATTACATAAATATACAGAAAATGCAAAATAAGTGTACGGCTCATCGACCTTTCTCAAAATGAACACGTTTTTACACTGATCCCACTAAGCAAGAAATAGAATGAACATTACTGAAATCCCCAAAGCCCCCATATACCTACCTGGTCAGTTCCCCCTTACCAAGTTTGACCGTTCTCTTGAACTCTAACACCATACACTAGTTTTGCCTGTTTTTATACTTTATGTGAACACAATCATGGAACGTGTACTCTTCTGTCTCTGGCTTCTTTTGTGTATGTTGTACATCATTATAGTCCACTCAGTCTATATAGTCTCAGAATAATAATATTCTGTTATCTGAATAGACAGCAACTACTTCCCCATTTTACTATTCACAGACATTGGGGTAGTTACCACTTTGGGACTATTAGCATTGCTAAGAATGTTCTTTTTTATGTTCTTTGATGACTGTATGTATACATTTCTCTTGGGTATGCTTCTGGGAGTAAACATAGAATGGGCACATAGTCATCCAGCTTAGTACTGCCAAATTCTTTTCTCGGCATCAATTAATACTATTACCAGTGTTCTGTATCCTTTCAGTACTCATTGTAGCTACAATGTGGACTATGGCTCTAACTCCATTGACCTAAAGCTATTTATGTTCAGCCCATTTTCCTTTTTATTATTGCATTTATTTGTTTATCTGTTCTTCGTGTGTCTATGTGTATGGGCACATGCCTGCCCTGGTGAATGTGTGGAGATCAGAGGACAGCTCATGGGAGTTGGTTTTCTCCTTCCACCATGTGAGTCCTAGGGGTTGAACTCAGGCCATCAGGCTTGGTGCAAGCATCTTTATCCACTGAGTCATTTCACTTACCCTGAACTATTTTCTTATTTTCATCCCCATTTTTATTGTGAAGCACATGTTCAATAGACCTACTTTTATTGTCTATTTATTCATAGAAATTCTTCATATATTCTAGATATATTTTCTACCAAATACATGTATTGCAAATACCTCTTTCTACTTTATGAGCTACATTTTTCACTTAAGTTTTATTTTGGGGGGGTTAAGACAGGGTCTCAGCATTGTATCCCTGGCCGGCCTGGAACTCACTGTGTAGACCAGACTAGTCTTGATCTCACAGAGATCCACCTGTCTTTGTTTCAGGAGTGCTGGGATTAAAGGTGCGTACCACCATGCCCAGCAAGTTTTGTTTTTTTTTTTAATATTGTATTATTTTTATTTTATGTGTATGAGTGTATTGCCTGCATATATGTGAATGCACCCATGTCCTGCAATGCCCCAGAGGTCAGAAAAGGGCTTCGGATTCCCCTGGAACTGGAGTTAAGGATGGTTCATAGCTGCCATGTGGGTGCTGGGAATTGAACCCAGGTCCTCTGCAAGAGCAACTAGTGCTCTTAACTACTGAGCCATCTCTCCACCCTGCAATTTTTAAATGTAATACAAATACAGAAAGCAGCATAAAATGCTTAAGCCACCGAGTTATTAATAAGCAAATACTCCAGAAAGGAAACAGAACCCTTGCTGGCCATCTCAGAAATCCTCCACCTACTTCTTATTACCTATATGCCATCACCCCATTCCTCAGATGGCCACTGTCCTAAATTTTTGTTAGTTATTTCCTTTGTTTTTTCTGGTGCTTGGGATTAAATGCAAGACCTTGCATATTCTAAACAGTCACTTTTACACTGAACTATGCCCCCAGACCCTACTATGAAAAAAATGAAGCAATATATTATTAGGCACACATATGTTAAAAACCAACAGCAGCAAGGCTGGAAAGATGACTTGCTGCTCTTCCAGAGGACCTGAGTTTGCTTCTTAGCAACCATATCCAGCAGCTCCCAATCGCCTGTGACTCTAGCTCGAGGGGATCTGATGCTCTCTTCTGGCTTCTACAGGCACTTGCACAAGTATGGCACATACACACAGACACACAGACATTTAAATGAAAACAGATCTTTAAAAATTAAAACCATATGTACATAAACCAAATTGCGTACATCTGTGTTGTTTTCCTCATTACATTTGGTCTACTCTTTGCTGCTCCCTGTGTTCTACTGCAGTTAGAGATTTATTCTTTTTATATATACCTTATGACTTTTTATGGAGTTTTGAAAGGACAAGTATATACAGCCTGCTTTGTGTGTCTGAGAGAGAGAGGCGGGGGTTTGGATGCATGGAGGCCAGAGGTTAACCTTATCTTCCTCACTGGCTATCCACCTTTATTTATTTATTATTTTTATTCTTTTGTTTGTATTTAGAGACAAGACCTCTCACTGAATCTAGAGCTCACCAGTTGGCTAGACTGGCTAGCCAGAGCGCTCCAGGGAACTGCCTGTTTCTACCTGCCCGGTGCTAGGATTATAGATGCTCTTAGCAGCAACTGTCTTTTTTTTTTTTTTTAATATGGATGCTGAGGATTCAAACGTAGGTCCTCAAGCTTGCATGGCAAGCAGTTCACCCACTTAGCCATCGCCCAAAAACACAACACACCAAAATTTACAAACTATGATGAAAGCAGTGCTAACTGGGAAATTTATAGCTGTGAATGCTGACATTGAAAAAGATAAAAGGGGCTGGCACTCAGCACTAGGTGCTTGCCTAGCACATGCAAGGCTCCAGAACCAACAAACCTTTAAAAATGAAGAAAGAAAGCTTGGTATAGTGACATGTACCTATATTTCCAGTTGTCTGGGAGTCTGAGACAGACAGGTCTTGAGCCTGGGGACTTGAGTACAGCCTGGGCCATGTGGAGAGATCCTTTCTCTAAAAAAGAAAGAAAAACGGGGTGTGGTGGCACACGCCTTTAATCCCAGCACTCCAGAGGCAGAAGCAGATGGATCTCTGTGAGATGGAGGCTAACCTGTCTACATAGCAAGTTCCAGGCCAGCTGGGGCTACAGGGAAATCCTGTCTCAAATAAGTAAATGGATGAATGAATGAATGCATGAATGAATGAATGAATAAATAAATAAATAAATAAATGAATAAATAAATAAGAAAAATGGGCTGGGAATATAACTCAGTGGTGGGATACGTGCACCACAAAAATGATAAATAACCTAAATTTCTCCCTTAAAAAATTGGGGTTGAGGGGCTGAAGAGATGACTCAGCAGTTAATGCTGGCTGCTCTTGCAGAGGACCAGGATTTGGTTCCCAGCACCCACATGGCTAACAGCCATACATAATTCCATCTCCATGGAGTCCAATGCCCTCTTCTGGCCTCCACAGGCATTGCATGACACAGATTCACTTACATGCTTGCAGGCAATACACTCATACATGTAATAAAAAAATAAAATATTTTTCTTAAACTGGGGTGGAGTTCTGGGGGGTGGGGGCACAAACTAAACCCGAGGTCAGCAGAAAGAAGGAGACACATAGTGGAGATAAATGAAATAGAAAACAAAAACAGCAAAAGCAGAATCAATGAAATCAGAAGTAGGGCTTGTTAGCTTTGCCAGGCATGAGGGAACGTGTCTGTAATCTCACATTTGGGATGCTGAGGCACAATCATTGTGAGTTGGAGGCCAGCCTAGGCTGTACAGTGAGACTCCACCTAAAAAAAAAAGTAGGGCTTTGTTTTGAGAGTTGGAATCTACAAAAATGATTAGTTAGCTAAACTGATGAAAACGGAAGAGTCAAATCACTAAGATCAGAAATGATTTTATTACAGGCCTCACAGAAATAAAAATATTAAAG